AATTGCTGCGCTGCGAGTACATAAAAGACTGTCGTGTGCATACCTATCTAGCGCCTATCAGCCGCACACGCACATCGGCGATTATCAAGCAAAGCCGGACAAGTGGGGAGCTTATCGGGCTGGCCTGGCCCCCGCCCCCAAGCCGCTCTGCTTAGCGCCCAGCGGGGGGTCAGCGCGCGCACGCACACACACACACACACACACACACACACACACACACAGCTTCGCCCCCCCCAGCTGCAAAACACAGCTTCTGTATTGTGCTGCCCCGCTACTCTCTTTTTCACAGTGCTCGGAGCGGGCGAAGACAGACAAAATCGAAAGATGTCTTGTTGCCGGGTATGCATGTCGCAGTGAAAAAAAACACACACACACTCACACGTGCCCACCCATGAGGGTTGTGTGTAAACGTTAAGGATTTATTTATTTTTTTAACAGTATTTGCAGTGACTTTGGGCCATTCAACGTGACATTTTGAATCCGCCTTGGCTATATTGTCTCCGGGCAACAATGTATGTGCTGAGTTGGCTCCCACTTGTATCCCGGCTGATGCTTTTGCAATTGTTTTCTGGTCTTTATAGAGGCAATGTGACGCCTGTTCGCTCCACCTGTCAGTGTCACACACACACACACACACACGCAGGACTGTGGGACCGCCACAGCTGGCCCATCGGCACGTGTCTTGACCTCGGTGACTGAAATGGCAAGGGTCATTGCCTTTCAACCCGTATGTGTATGTGTGTGTGGCAGGGTGGAATGGAGGCTCCGTTATTGCCGTGTACTCACGTGGCTCTAAAAGTGACAACAAACAGAGGCAGGGATGGTAGGCGCAGTGCCGCGGGGCGGGCCGGGCGTGTGCCGAGGTCAGCGAGGGTTAGAGGTCGACATGGCGGACAAAAAGGCCGGGCTGCTGTGCTCCGTTTGGCTCTCCGCCAGCATTTTATTGCCCGACTGGCACTACTTCTTACTTTTACCTCCTACATTTCAAAAGTACTTTCTAATCCTTACTTTTGTCCAAATGGGCTTATCTTTGCCTCTCTGTTCATCAGTACAGCACTAATACTAGTCGTTCTTCAGAGAAGATTGAGAAAATATGACTGGGAATTGTAGCGTTGCAATATAGATGCTATTTCGCATTAGCATCAAGCTAGCGGGGTTATATGTTTAAGATTTTACATTTTAGTTCGATTTTTTTATTTAATTATGACTTTTTCTTTAATTTGGTTAGTTTTTATTTGTTTATAGAACCAGGTCTGTTTGTTTGTATGAGTTTTTATCTGTTTAATGGAATAATTGTCCAGAGAGTACACGTCATGACACGACGCACCGGGAGTTGCTCGGTTACGTCACTGATACCTCATGTCGTCATTGTTGATCGGTCAGTCATGTCAAGCTCACTTTACGCAGACATTAGCCAGACTACATTACACAAAGTAGCCGTAAAATCCAATAGCTGACCACCCACCCACCAAGTGGCCTCCTTGTCGAAAACCCAAATAGGGTAATCCTCAAACAGTATGTGTTGAAGAGCACCAAAAAAAGGGGGGTGGGGGGTGTCGGCTGAGGGAAGAACGGCGTGAAGCTCGGAGTTCCACGGAAAAGGCCTGGTTTGCCAGCCGGCAGAGGCATGAGATCATCGGCCCCGTGCTACTCTGCGCCATTAGCCCTCCCTAAAGCCAGAACCTCCTCCTGTCTCTGCCTCCTACTATCCCCTCTTCCCAACCCCAACACACAATGTCACACACTCATCCCACTGTTCTGTTTATTGATGACTCAAGCTTGCCGTTTTCTTTCCGGATACCCAGTCAACGCCGAGGCGCTCCGGCACCTCGGGGCCTGATGGACTGATTTGGACTGTTTACAGCTGTGCTCCTTTCTACAATGACTCACAAAAGAACAAAGGGGCCTCTGTGTATGTGTGTGTGCGAGGGAGCGTCTCCGGTTCTTGTCAACAGGACCTACCCGAGTGCGCTGGACTTTTTCTTCGAAAGCCCTCCGCCCTTGAGAAGCTCTTCCCTTTTTTTTTTCCATGTCTTGAAATACACCGCATGGATATGAGCGTGTGGTAATGTTAATTCAAGAACAGTACACAACTCTGAACAGTAACGTTAGCATTAATGCTAACAACTTGAGGTGTCCTGGCTGGTGCACCCATCAGGGTCGCCGTGGCAATTATTAAAAATATGCTGCTCATTTTACAACCAGCCAGTGTATTGTCTCAACCCAATCAACACGAAAAACAAAAGAAGCGGCTTGAACTGAAATGCTAACACTGACGCTAGCGCTAACTCAATGAGCAGTTTCCTGGCTAGTCCACCAAGTGTGAGAAACAACTAGAGTAGCTGCTCCAGGGGCACAATGGCAGCGACAAAGAACTTAGAACATGCGTGTACAAGTCGTCAGGAGTCATCATCGCCATGTTTGTCAGAAAGCTTTATTCGCAAAGCTCTTTTAAGACAATGTCACAATCCGTCGCCTGCAATTGAGACTCGGAGAGAGAAATCAAGTCATCTTTGAGAATTTGGAGAAAGGCACAACATGAATAAATGAATACATAAACGAACATGAGTCCTGACAAAGCTTAATGTTTCCATTTTCTAAGTGTCAATCTTGGAACGTTAGCGACAGAAAGAGGAAACAAACATTTTTATTTAGGACGGCATCAAGTGGATCGGAGCCCTCCCCGTATTTTCTCTTTCACCCTTGAACCTTTCACCCAGTCCCCTCACGTTCCTCCTGTCAGTCGTGCGTCTTTCCATGCATACCTGAGGGCATGAGTGCCTCCTCAGTGTGTTTGACATCAAATTTCCACTCGGCGCGGTTCTAAAAAGGCCTGTTTGTTTAGCGCAAAGCCCGGACGCGAGCCCCACTCGCCGATGAACTCGCCCGGGGTGCAACACCCTGTTGGAATGTCTGGAATTCTCCACAACAAGGATTAGCTCATCCCTGTCTGTTGTCTCTGGCTTGTGTGTTTGTCATCCCCCCCCCCCCACGCCCCACCCCGCGGGGGTTTAGAGATGAACCAACTGATAGACACACACAAAAGATCAACCTGAAGGCCTGAGATACCAGGGCAGCTCCATCCAAAGAGCACAACATTACTTGTATACATTGTCCTGCAAAATGCGAGCTATGTTACCTGGCTTGTTTTTTTTTTTTTTTTTTTTTTCTAAGAGGAGTGAATCATTTGTGTGCGTGTATGAGTGGCGGGGGATCCTGTGGAGCCTTCTCAGCCATCACCAACATCAGAGACACAAGAGAATCGCACGTTCCAAAATAGCCGTTTTCAAGAACAAGGAGCATTTTTCATATACGGTACAAAGTCGGAAACAAAGCACAAGAGGCCCCATTTATACTTTTGTGCCACCTCAGGGCGCCTATCGGACTGAAAAGATGCACCTACGGGAACCAAAGACAAGCAGCGTACCACTTTTCAGTACAAATATCCACTTTCAGTCAATATGCAAATAGAGAGACCGTGACCCCTGTTAACAAATAATGTCAATAATATGCTTCAAAAGAACGCTCATTACGCGAATTGTTCCACTTTTGTTATCATGTTGGCGGAACTGAGTTAAAGCAATCGTTGGTCAACATCGCCCTCTTGTGGACAATGTTATATAGCACCAAAAACAAATACACAGTATAGGAAAAAATATATTAAATCCATAGAGTATTTACTCAAACGATGACATATTGGTATCCTGTATATGTTTGATTAGATTTTTGCATCACATGTCAATACCTTTAAACATAATATTAAAAATGGCCATCCAATAATTAACATTCCATTTTAATTCGTGAATACATAATTTATTGCTCATTATTAGTTTATCTATTTTTTTCATGTTTTGCTTTGTCACCTTAAATAACATTGTTCTTAATGGAAAATAGTATTGTTATTATTATTGCCAACATAGTTTTAGCATTGATGTAAATCTATTACTGCAATATATATTACGTTACTATAAATTCAGATTACAGCATTAACGGTAACAAAGTAAAAAAAACAAATTAAATAAAATAATAAATACATTCAATAATTATTACAATAATTCCCTGTTTGACCTTGGGAAAAGACTGCCGTGGAACACCAAAGAGCAAACTCAATAAGGAAATTGCATCATAAATTCAGAGATACGTCCACACATAAAATAATTGTAATAATTAATATTTATTTTTGACTTTGTCCCCTTGAATAGAGATGGTATCACCTGACTCGTCCAACCGGAGTATGACCTCCATGTGACTTTGTCCTGAGAGATGGTGGAAATCCCACATGACAAAACATCACTTGTATTTTCCCCCTGAATGCAAACGGACAGGAACTCGAACAGGCATCGAATGAGGAAGTGCCGTATTGTACATATTGCTTAAAGGAAGCTCCTTTGACATTTCAACTTGGTTACAAAAGAGAGCATTGTCTTTTTGTCATTTGCGTCACTTGGATGAGGCCTTGCGGCGAGTTTTCAGAAAGTACCTGAAAAGCCTCCACGTAACAAAATAATAAAAAAGAGGATGGGGGAATTAAATTGTGGATTAATGGTATTCCCATTCATTTGAATGACAAAATATGATTTGGGCGTGGTCATAGGACAAATTCAACTGTTCCGTGAGGCCATTTGGACACAAAAAAAAAAAAAAAAAAAAAAAAAAAACACAAAAAAAAAAACCCGGGGGGCCATTGAGAAAAAAAAAAAAAAAAAAAAAAAAAAAAAAAAACTACACAACAAAAACATGCAGACTTCGAACGGGAAGAGACAACTCATCCTAAAATATGTATATATAAGCAAGTGGAGACATGCGTGCACATTGAGAAACAACCTGTGACTAAGCAGGAGTTCAAAACAAACTGACGGTAACTCAGTGGCCCTAAAAAAAACAAAACCTGAGTGTACTGACAGGGCGCTTGAAAGAGGCCTGAGTTCATTTGAAGTGCTCATGTACATGCGAGTAACGCTGACTGACTGGCTTCTTTGGATGTCTTTGAATGTCTTTACCTGTGATCATAGCAAGGATCGCCAAGGTGGCGGCGGCGACGGCTACGATGACGGCGGCGGCGGCGAGGCAAAAGCAAAGCGGGATGGCGTTCCAAGTGGCTCCCGTGGCGAGGAGAGGCAGCGCCTGACCTGTGAAGGAAATAGACAATTGCGTTCAAAACTACGTAACACAGTGCCTCGACTTATGTTCACTCTAAATCGTCAAGCGAAAGCCCATTTTTCCCAAATTGTGTGATTCAATCTGGTAAATAACAAAGAGTGACAACATTTATTCTCATGAGATCAACTGGCCAAAAGAGGCCACGATGGAGCTAAAATGTCCAAATTGATGTAAGCAGCATACTACTGACATTTAAAAAAACAATCAAACACCCCAGTCAGTGGGAAGTACACTACCTTTGCTTGAACTAAAAAACAGGGCTGTGAAATAAGGAAGAGAAAATCCGAGGTAAAGTTTAAGGGGGGTCTGGGAGGCGCAGCCCTCCGGTATGAGCATCTATTAACTTTTCTCTTTTAACTTGTTTGAAATATTTTTTCTTTTTGAGGGCATCTTAACTGTGTCTGACCTAAGTCAACTTACACCCTCCTTCTATGCCCTCCTTGAAATATCTAATAATTGCACATGTAATTCATCTGTTAATCAAAATAAAAGTAAAAAAATGTAAATAACAATTGAAAGAAATGTTTATGAAAGAAAACTTCAACAGGCATTTGCAAATGGCTGTGAAAAATCACGCTCAATATGAAAGTGAGAGATACCTTGTTGTCTTGCCTGATCCGTACTTGATATCTTGGTGGCGGTTCTTTGTTTAACGAATGTGTTCATGCAGGTACTCGTTCCCGACTTTATGTTCAAGCCAATTCCAATTCCATGGCTTTTTCATGCCGTTTTCCTGGTCGATTTTTTTCCACATTGTCTTTCACGCCGTATTCTCGTTCGCACAATATATCTTCTTACGACAGACATTCTATGATATTCTCGTAGCAAACCTCGACTACTAGCAGTGTTTTTATTTTCTTATCAACACCTGTTTGAGAGCGAATACCGAGACAGGAAAGCCAAAAGTTATCGCAAGTGCCGTAAGCCATTCGTTGCACTGTCGTAAAAATAGGACGTACGGCAACGTCGTCCGTCGGTAAAATTCACGTACGCGGTGCCAGGTTACGCAATTTTCAACCCGCGTGAAGTTCTTGTCGGCTTTGCCGAGTTGCGGTCAAAACATGTTCTACGCTCAGCTGGCGTAAAACTCCGCGTGTACGGCTGTATTGCGCCACTGTCGCAGAGCAAGGCTATTAAAGTCAAGTAGATCTCTACCCACCCAATGATTTTTAATGTAAAAATAGAGGTTTTGTGAAAATCATATTTTTTTTTCACAACAGAATCCGCGGAAATTTCACAGCCCTAAAAACACACACACACACACACACACACACAAATGAAAACACAGTGGGGAAAAAAAGGGTGTTGCTTTTTGCATGGCTCCTTACCGGGTTCCTGGGTGAAACAGTGAAGGACCGTGGCGGCGTAATTCACATCGATCCTCCTCACCTGCGCAAGCACACACATGCCTTAAAGTTTCCTGTTGGCTAACTGATAAACATTTTCGACGATGAAAACGTACATGAATACAAGAGTGAGCGTCCGGCAAGGTCAGGCCAATGGACGAGTGCTCCCCCTGATGAAGACATGGTGGTTGCGGCGGTTTCTTGCAGACATTGTGGAACGACGCTCACTTTTGGCGACCTACCACTTGTGCAGTCATGCGGGCCCCCGTCGTGCGACACGCCGCAGAGCCTTGGGACGGCGTGCATGCGTCAATGCGGAAAGTGGCGTTGATGTGTGAGGTCAGCGTCAAACCCTGCGGTGTCCAGCTCACATCCCACACTGAAAAGAACATTTAGTTGTCATGGACACATACAAAATATGGGGACTGTATAGTCTCATTAGTCCCACACATTACTATCCAATACAAAGTGCACAGAAAAATATCATTTTAAACAAAAAGGTTGAGAATTGAAGCTCCGCGACATACTTTAACATAGTTCAATAACAAGAAAATGTCACAAGGTGGCAGCAAAGCAAGGCAGGAGGCCCCTCCAACCATCTTCAACGTTGTTCCTTGGCACACATGGATGGCACCAAAACAATATGTGAAGCGCCTCAACTCATGTCCACATGTTCCTTGGTACCGAGATGGGGGTGTAGCACTACAAGAAGCTCCTCAAGCCACTTCAGAATTGTTCCTTCGCACCAAGATGCCGCGAGAGCAATAGTCATACATCCCCGAAATGTTATACAAGTTAAAACAAAAACTGCAAGACATGCATGGCAACAACTACAACGGTGTTGCATAATGTGGACTTGCTTTAAGGGCATTTTCACTAACACCGACAGAATATTAAAAATATTTTATTATTCTGAAAAAGTCATACCTTGGAGTCTCCTGACAAAAGGACACTTGATCCAAGACTGGTTGCCTGCAGTGAACTGATCAATAAATCAACAAACAACAAAAGAAATTTCAATTCTAGCACATTGTTGTAGTGGCCAGTTTTTAAATATTTGCATAATATTGGAATATTTTAGCTTTCTTAAGTAATGGTTTTAATTAGCTTAAAACAATCAACAAACAACAAAAGAAATTTCAATTCTAGCACGTTGTTGTAGTGGCCAGTTTTTAAATATTTACATAATATTGGAATATTTTAGCTTTCTTCAGTAATGGTTTTAATTAGCTTAAAACAAAAAAATTTTAGGATTTGTATTGACATATAATTATTTCCCCATTAGTTTGAAGACTCAGTTCATGTTAATTCATTCAATGCCAAGGGCGGTTTTCCCCCCCAAATAAAAATAAAGAGTTGTTACCTTCATGCACAGTTGAGGGTGAGGGTCCACTTTTGCAAATGTTATCTGAAAGGCAACATTTTATCCTATTTGAGAGTTGGAACAAATACAAAAAGTGCTGCGGCTGCTAAGGTCATTGCGTCGCCTTTTTTTTTTTTTTTTTAACTTAAGGCCCGAGTGATTGACGGAGAAATTGCACCTTAAGAATGTTTCCAACTTGAATGCTGCCAGGCGTTCATGCTGGGGTCAAAATACGTGTTAAAAGTGCGTGAGCGGAATACACAATACAACTGAAGCTTTATTAAGACTATTCAAATGTGCGCCTTGGCTTCCTGTCTTTGACCACAAGAGGGCAGGCTTTCACCAAGGCTTTCTACATTTTATCACAGAACAACACCGTTCTGTTTTTTTTTCTATGTTGACTGATAACAATCGAAACTGACGGCAAGTATAAAGGAAAAAACAGAATCGTCACACTGGCCACATCATGACTCAGCTCAATAAAATTTCACACAACAGCGTCATAAAGTCCTTCGTGAGTCATCACCAATTTCCAATGAATGAATGAATGACAACGCGTTGATGACTCATCACGTTTCGGCGACCTTTCCTCTGCTGATATTTCGCCAGGCGCTCTCCACGTCCACACAGCCGCCGCTCGCCTCCCTCTGACACAGCGCCACCCGGGCCGAGAGCGGACAGGCGGGTGCCCACGAAAGCGCCTCCTCCAGCGGGTCGAAATGGATCCCGTGCCACATCTCCTCCATGCCTGCATGGACGGAGATGTCATCAACTGTACTAATAATGACTGACGCTGGTTGAGTCAAGAGCAACGAAAAGTGACTCACGGTCTTTGAAGGGGCAGACCTGCACTCTGGGGGCGTCGATCACCGCCGACCAGCCCTGCGGAGGATCGGAAACGTATCGTTTGGCATGCAAGTGGAAACAGTCGGTGGTTTGTGCTCCGCTGGGGGTTTTACCTCGATGCACAGGCATGGCAATGGTCTGGAGAAAGACAGCACGGCACTCTTTTTGGGTTCCTCTTTCTTGATCTGGATGGTCAACAAAGGAGACTCTATTAGCCACGATAGGTGGCTGGAGTTACATTTGCGATTCTTGTCTTACGAGAGCGCTAGCCCCCGTGCCGGTGCAGATGAAATCCTTGTGGCACAGTCGCACTTGATAGTCTTGACCCTCCAGCATGTCGCTCACGGCGACGTGCACCTCCTTTCTCTCCCAGTTGACGTCATGCCATATCCGACCAGCTGCCGGACATTGTTAGTGTCGGGGGTGTGTTTGGACAAAAGCGCGGTCGACATCTGGAAGTGTACTCACTGATGCATTCGGGGACGTTTCTTCTCAGATCCTTCCACGAGCAGTCTGTCGTGAGACAGACGAAAGTGACGGACTAATTGTTAGTTCATTCTTACCGCAACGTCTGCACAACATGGGCAAAAATTCAACATCTGCACACGCGCGGCACGCCGAGGATGTATTCTAGGGGTCCCCGAACATGACGACTCTCTTGTTTTTCCAACCATAGACAGATCTCTGGTTTTTACGTTGGTTACACCATGCCCGAAAAAAGGCATTTGTTGCCAGCACGTGAGTGAAAATGCATATTGGGGTGCTCGAACATTCTGATCAACATTGCACGCTGCGGCACCTGGAGCTAGGTAGGTCCCACTTCGAGTTATCCCACAGTAGCTCGGCAGCGTGGCCACGGTGACTCTCACTTGCTGCCGCGGGTAAACGCCGACGCAGTCGTTCTCCAGCTCCACCTATAACGACATACAGTGAGGTTGAGAGGGGGAAAAAGGCTCCTTCGGTTTGGTTTAGAGCCACTCTGCTGGAAAATGATCCAGTTTCATGTCAATGGTCTCGTGTTACTTTGTACGTGGGAATGAAGTTTGTATTTTGAACCAATTTTTGTCATAGTTTGGCTTGTGCGCCGTGATCTTTGGCTGGGATTGGAATGATTTGACATGTACCTGCATCCCTGCCATTGCCCGCCTGGACGCCTTGGAGATGCGAATCATTCGGCACTTGGGCAGCAATGCCGGCGTCTCGGAGCAAATGTACAAGCCGTGGATGGACTCTGGGGATTGAAAACGTTTACGCACGTCATTGTGAGCCAGAACAACTGTGGGGATGTTCGATATCACGATATCGAGTACGGATACCTCTCGTACTCTGGATATATAATCTATAAAGTTGCATGTAACACACTGATTTTTTTTAAAAATGGTGAACCTGTTGGTTGGTGGTGTCAGCCGATTCCATAAATATCTGAAACTGAGGCCAGTATCGCCGCGATACTGATACTTGGCATCGCTACTTGCTCATCCCTACACAAATGTTTACAGCCTGATTCTGATCACTATTTTATTATCATTATTATTTTTTTTTTTACACAGTAATTGACGCACTGGTAAGTTGTACGGTGGTCTTGATCCGAAGATGCATGGAGCATTTCTGGCTCCCCTCGCACATCACGGCGGTGGAAAAGCTGAGGTTGCGGAAAACGGAGGAGGCGTCGAGCCCATTGGCGGGCTCCTGGCACGGAGGAGGAAGAAAATCTGTCACAAAGAGGGTCATTTTTAACAAGGTAGCAAAGGTTACTTCCTCCATCACGACACGTGTAGTTCCCGTTTAAGCGGGGCTGGAGACCGCTTTGGATTGCACTTGTGGAGTGTGTGTTTGCACTCACGGGCTGGCTTGGTCTTGCATTGGAGGCCCTGCAAGAAGAAAAGCTCATAATCAGTCAAAAATCCAAAACTAAAATGAAATAGGAAAAGAAAAGTCATCCTGGACGATTAAAAAAAACTGAATATGGTCCACAATAAATAATTTGATACTTCAGTATGTTATCCAGCAATGAATGAATCACCTTTCGGTTTTTGTTGTGCCACTGAAAATATTTCAACGTTTTTTGTTCTGCGGTATTTATCAACATGTTTTTTTTTTTTTGTTATTGTGAAATGAAATAAGGTGGGTGGAGGTTGGGCGTCCTCTGAACAAGGTCCTGATTTCAAAAACTGATTTTGAAAGACCCAAACAACTTTCATCGTTACAATAGTTACTCATGAAACAAAGACGCATACATGGAAAATCCTTGCTAACTTTGTTTTGTCTGTTCACTGAGGTCATCATCCTATCTTTAGATTCCGTGATTACAAAGGTATGCAAACATCGTTTGATCATTTTGGGAGGTTGAAAATAAATCTAGCCTGAGAAGAATGAAGAGGATGCTTTTATTTTTTTCTTACCTGAGAGCACCTTGTGCCGCATCTCTTGATCCTTTCCGCCTCCACGTGTTGTCCAGCGGCTCCATAGAAGCCAAAACTGGAGTGGCACATCAGCAAGGCAGCCCACACGATCATCTCCACCACCACAAATTCTTCCTCTTTGGACTGGTTTGTACGCAGCTCCCGCCTTTATTTGTGAGACATCGGATGCTGATGTCATCCAATGGTGGTGTGATGGGCCAGGGCCTTAGTGGTAAATGTCTTTATCGTGGGGGTGGAGCTTGGCACATGAGTTGTAGCATGTGTGTCTGGAAAAAAATTCTATTATTAGCAACAAACAGGGAAGTTATGTGATCAATGTGTTGGACAACAAAACAAAAAAAAAATGGTTTCTTACAACTGCCACTGTTCAGCAAATGCCACCCGACAAAAAAGAAATAAATCATTCAAATGAAGCACGAGCACACATTTTAATGGAGGATGCTGAATTGCGCCTGACATCGGAACGTGTAGTCGCATTTTTATGTCAAGGAAACATTTGACACATTGAGCAGTAATGCTTCAATGCTTTTGGTACTTACATCGGAATACAAGACAACAAAAGGAAATGTAAATATGCACTGCGGTTCACATCAGTGCGTGATGCACATTTCTGGGAATCACGGGGTGGGAATTTTTTGCCCTGGAGCTTTTTATCTACTCTCGATGCATCACTGATTGTCATGACGCGGCATCATTTCCCTTCAGCTCATAAGTAGCATTGGGTGAGAACGTGTAAACGGCGCCCTCTGTCAGGACGCGAGGTGTATTGCCGAATGCCGATCAAATTACGTCATCACAACACACCTGACGTCAGACCTTTCCAAATACGTGTTTAATGAAAAAGCAATTATGGGACCGATACTGGCTAGTTTCTACACGTTTTTTTAATTTGGGGGGGGGGGGCAAAAATCAGGGGGGG